CTGGACTTTTTTCGTGCGGTAGTGAAACCATGAAAAAGTAGGAATTCTGTTTGGTTGTGCAGGATGTATAAGTACCCAGCCACGTCTTTTTCGGAATAGAGTCTTTAAATCAGATTCTTCGTGAAGGGAGAGTGCTTCGCTAAGTGTTGAGAAATTATTTGTTAATATACATAAAAAATAATTGCCACTGAAGGTTAAGTAAGCAACAATTGATCATTCGATCAAATTTAACAAGCATGTTATTATTACAAATTGCATCTACTTTCAAATGCTTATTCATCGTTATTTGTTTGTATTGTAATGTGAAGACTTTATTATGCATAGATGGGCCAGGAATCTATTAAGTGTTCTTCGTTATCGATTCGGTCTTCAAACTGTATTGATTCATGCGTGACTAATGTATGAAAAGTAAAACACAATTATAAGCCTAGTTTTGATAAGTTATAATAAAGGGCGTTTGTTTAAAAAGCTAAACCAATGAAAATGAAAATAGAATAAACTTTGTACGTTCGAAGCGCATTTCTGGATTTACATTCACCAGGAACTAAAAAATGGGATAACTAAGGCTTTGTAAATACTCAAATACGTGATGAGCTATATGACCAAAGGATTGATTGTTGGTTGTTTAACGTCCAGTGGAAAACATTTCATGCATTTTCAGGAAGAGAACATATTAACAATTCTTACAATATGTCTGTCCTGTAATAGAGGCCGTCTGGGTTGAAGGTCGGATGAAATTTGAAATGCAACAGTGCAACTACGGACCCATCAGAGAGTTGCAAGGTTTGTTCTAGTTTTAACCTGCAGAGAGTTTGACATTCCCTTTACGAAGTATTGGATTTACAAGTCAGATTGATGGATTGATTGTTGGTTTCTTATTGTCCAGTGGCAAACATTTCATGCATGTTCAGAACGACAACAAATTAACAATAAGTACAATAGAAGTTCCTGTAATAGAGTGGCACTCTCTATACAAGGCATCGGATTTAACGTCCCCATTCTTACCGGACGTGGCTGCGTACTTGTACATCCTGCACAGCCAAACGAACGCTCCACTTTAGCAAGGGTTTTACTGCCGGTCGGAAGAAGACCTGCAGTGACCATGTTTCTATTCCCTAGTCACCCTTGGGGTGAGCTATTCAGAAATATGGATACTACCACCAATAACTTTAATATGCATACTGATGAACCGTGACTTACCATGAAACACTATTATACAGGATAAGTATCCTTGTGAGCAACTGCATGTAAACGTTTTTATCCTGCAATCGACCTTTCTACTATACTAATACAGGTGTACAGATAACACGAAGCGATATACGTATACTAGACGTATATAGTCTCCTGGTATCCTGCTTCTGTTGCGAGCGAACGGTTATGTCAAATTACTGTTTACGTCACAGTTCAATTTGGGTTCCTCATTGCGGTCCGCGTTTAAGGCATGTCGATTTCTTTCAAAAACAAATTCAACGATTGGAATGGGTAAAAATGTACAAAATTAATTGCAGGATAAAGACAATAACTGTTTAGTGTCTTTAAATATCAGCTGTATTTGTACTCGGCTCGAAACAGGAGTAATAGCTCGCTGAATCTCGCATTACACCTGTTTCTTAGCCTCGTACAAATACAGTTGATATTTAAAGACACTAAACAGTTATTGTCTATGTATGTGACGAAAGTCCAATAAAGTACCTTTGTCATTACATAATAAAGTAAATGCATGCAAGATGATTTATCACGTGATAAATTTCACTAAGATCAGTTAACATTATATGCCATCTACCATGTGTTTTCCCCCGTAATCACATTATTTACTTTCTATTAACTTTGCAAACCTAGTTATAAAGTTTGAAAGGAACAACAGTACTTAATGATTAAATAAAGTCAATCAATCGCGAGGAAATTAAATGTGTCATTTAGACAGAATAATTCACTTCAACATCACTGATGGCAATACTTAATGTTTGCTGCATTATATTCAAGACTACGACGGGGTATCACCTTGGTCAAGTTGTGTCTAGTTTTGTCGTCGAACGATGCAATATAAAGAAAATATGTATAATAAAATAAAAACATGTAGATTTCTTCATACCATGTTTTAAATATAAGTTTTTTAAATTGTCACATTAAAACGCCAAAAAATAAAGAAAGGCATTTCTATCATTACATATTATAAATACATATAAATGTCTAAATATGAGACAACTTCACGACAGACGTTCTCCATCGGATTACCTGTGGTTTTACAGGGCGAACACCATAATTTATATATACTTCGTCTAAAATTTACCCCTGCAAATTTGCGTTAGCAAATTGTTTTTCTTCCTTTAGCGAGATTTGAACCCTGCATCTGGGACTTCGTGGAAACATCGCCTGCACTTTATCCAAACGCTAGACCAGTCGACCAACTAGACTATATAAAATATAGCTTTCATCGTTGGCCGAGTAATGCCTTTTCTCGTCGGGTTTATATATATATAGTGGTAGGTAGATGGAAGGTATACCTTGCAGATCGGGTTACATAAACATCATACCGGTAGTACACATAATTATTATAAAACATGCTAGAATAAAAATTTTGAATGAAAACACACATTTTAATAAATCAAATCATTTTATTGGTGTAAAATCCAAATATTGGATTGTTACAAAGACAAACATGACAATATTTACAAACGTACAATATTAAAATTTAAGCAACATTCATATTTTGTAAGGATATATTTAGATATTTTGGAGGTTTAATATGACGTTCTTCAGACGCTTTGAGTACACACCCGTGATAAAATATGAATATATTGTTTGGGCTGTTCCAATCATACTTCCACGAAGAATATTTGCCTTCATCTACAGCACTTCGATCAAAACGAATTGCCGTATTTGTCCTATTAGAATAGAAATAATTCATGTGGGCTTGAATTTATACTCGCTATCGCTCGTGGTAAAATATTTAGCATAAAGGACCAACCCGTGGTAAAATCAGTATAAATTCAAACCCCCATGAATTATTTCTTAAACAAACAATATTACAAGAAAATATATTGTGGGAAAACCGATGACGAGAGAACAATAGAAAAGCGATTCTCCTGATGACAAGGTCAACAGATTTTTATCGCCGGTAACCATTCTGATTAAAAATTACTTCTAAACCATAATCTTTATATTTTAATTAAATGAAATAACTGTTAGACTATGTTATTTGTTATACGCAGGCCAATATATAAATAACACATAGCTGAGAGGTGATAGAGCAGCTTGATACCCAGAGAAAACATTGTCAACTGAGGCGAAGCCAAGGTTGACAATGTCTTTTCGAGGGGTAACAATCTGCTCTATCACACTCTCAGATATGTGTTATTTAATTAATTATACTGAATGTTCTGTTAATACTGTCAATTAAATTTCAAATTCAAAATAATAAACTATGTCGTCTTGTACATAACAATAATCCGTATTTATCAAAGCTTACACTTGAGCAAACGTCTCCGTGAAGGGTAATAGAGTATTTGACATGGGATAGAGTAAATTGTCTCCTTTGTATTAACCAATCAAAATCCGGCATTTTGACATGAAGTATAATAATACATTATGTCTTGTTTTCATCATTTATCGAGATAATTGCATTAGAAGCTTGTTACACTGAAATAAAAAAAATATGTTATGAAAAAATTTGGAAAAATCATGAAAATACAAAATCTGAAGCTCTTTCCAGTTACCAATTATGAGTGTTCCGCATAGTGCTTATTAAGTTACGGATCGTCACTGCTCTTTTATTTCGTACATTATTTGGCCTTTTTAACTTTTTTTATTCGAGCGTCACATTTGGTAGACGAAACTCGCGTCTTGCGTATGAAATATTGAATCCTAATATCTATGATGAGTTTATTTACAATTTCAAAAAACAGACATATTTCCAACAACTATAAGTTTTCAAACACTACGTTCTGCTCATTGACACAACAATTTTCAATATAAAAATATTGTATTTGTGTGAATATAACGATTTTATTGTTATGTCTGTTCACGACATTTTAGGAAATTAAGATTTTTTTTATCCGTTTGAAGATTTTTACTATTTTTTTCTAATTTAAAAAAAATGGTCGTCTCGATTTAAGTACATGTTTGTTTGCTCTTCCAAATGAATTTGCATTAAATATTCACATCGGAATAAGGTCTGCTTGAATTTGCCCAGTAATTTAATTCCAAAAATATAAATCTTTCAAATCGATTTTGTTGGTATTAATTTTATTTTTTTCCTGAACTTCTGTGTCATAATATACGGATTATCGATATGTTGCAGTGAGGTGTACAGCAAGTAGAAAATTAATTGAGGTTGGTACGTCAGGAATTTATTTGCATAGCAACATTTTAAACCAATTTTACACAGAAATTAAATATAACCAGTTTCTCTTGTCAACATTTATTTGTTCCGCCTAATATAAGTTCTCATGGAAACTTTGTTATAAACAATGTCATAATATCTGTTCCTGTTAGAACTAACATTCTATTCCCTTTATTCCGTTAGCAGGGGCGGATCCAGCTATTTAGAAAAAAAGGGAAAAAAGGGGGGTTTCCAACCCAGGATAAAGGGGGAGGGTTCCAACCATATGTTCCCATTCAATTGCATTGGTCGCGATCCAACCCCCAGACCCCCTGGATCCGCCACTGGATAGGAACAAATACTGTAATATTATATGGTAATTTATTTGTATTATTACTATTTACCAGAACATTTTCTAGTAAATTTGTAATAAATAACGTCCATGCGGAGAACGGGCCAAATATTGCAGATTTCTAGTTTTCGGTGTTTGCAAAATAGTTACATTTTTTGCCCACTAGATTCCCAACTGTATATTAGAAAACTTAATATTTCATTTAAACTGATAAACATAAAGTAAGAAAGCCTAAATGATTGATTTTAGTTAGAACAAAAGACAAGACAAGGTTTCATGACCATGAATTTATTTGGGAATTTTGAACCTATCACATTACCAAAGGTAGTAAGGTTGTCACATCGAGGAGTGTTTATTTAGCGATTAGACGCAGTTTGATGTACGTTAGATAAGTGAATGGAACGAAAAAACAATAATAAATGCAATTAGGAATTTCTTCATAATTTAGTTCAAAAAATAAACTTCACTTGGTAAGTAGCTTTGTATGATTTGAAAACTATCATTTTTTGTAATGCTAAGTTTCTATTAAATACGTTATATGATACAAAATGAAGTTTGCGTACATCAAAAAGTTTTCCACCGCTTTTCCACACATCCAAAAAATATTTGCTGCCTATAACATCATATTATCAATCACAACGTACACCAACTGTTTAATATTCTGGAAAATATCGATACTATTGCACATAATTAAAGTTCAATGGAAATCCAATGTATTTAGTGGTCGTCATGGTTCAGCAAAAAAGAAATTCTTTGTACAACTATTCATAAGATTTAGTACTAAACGTTATGGTTCATTAGAGTTCATGGAAAACGTTATTCTTCTTTTCTTGTGACTTCACATAACTGTTATTAGACATGTCTTTCCCATGTTTAAGATACAGTTCTACCATGTTGAGACCCATCCCTCAAAATAGACCAAACTAAAATAATATTCTTATACCAATATCTTTTTTAATAGGATTGACAATGGGTAATAATTACTCAGATGGAACGAATTACACATACCATTCAATATCTTGTGATGAAATGGATATATGTCGATGGGCAAGTTTTGAATATTATCCTTTTAAATGCGGAAGGAAGAGGCTGGTGTATAAAGGAATCTCATTTGAATCCAAACGTATTTATGAGATGAAAGTACCGGTAGATAAAACCCTTCATGACAAAGGTATTAAAACTAAGAATAAGTGGAAGAAAAGCACAGACAATATGCATAGTTCATACTGGTCAAAAAGAAAATGCGTCGTAAAAAAAGCAACAAAAAACGATGTTAAAATGAGAGACAAAAGCAATACGGAATCTCAGTGGTTTAGAAAAATGTTCATCAAAGGAAACGACAACATCAGCTTGTTTAGAAAAGAACTTAATATGGACACAAAAAACAGAATAGGTATTGCTTTTGCTAAATCTTATCTGGCGCAGATAGACAGCATGCCATCTGTATGGAACCCAATTTGTTACTATTGTTGTAGATACAAAAGTAGATTTAGAATGGATAATACTGTTTTGATAGAGGACAGAATAGAAGGATCGTTTAGCCATTTCATATTAGTCGACGGAACCTTAGAAGATGACTGTCCTCCCATTTTGAACGCTTTTCTCCATTTTACGTACCACCAGAGTGAAGGACAATTGGTGATGTGCGACTTTCAAGGAGCTGTGGAAAATAACAAAATTCTTCATCTTACCGTGCCATCAGTTCATTCAATTGATAGGTTATTTGGACCAAAAGACCAAGGCGAAGATGGAATAAAAGAAGTGTTTTCGAACCATAAATGTAATGAGCTATGTCGAAAAGACTGGATGAAACCGTAGAACGAAAACAATACTTAAATAAAAGCTAAGCTACAATAATCTGAATGTGACATAAAGAAATTTAACATTTCATTTTTCTCCAGAAACACTTTAAATCAAGAGTTTGCAGAGCAAACTAAAAGATACATGTAGGCAAAAGGTTGATACATATAAAACGGAGCTAAAGGAAATCGACTGTGGGAAATTGAATTTTAATTTGTAAAAAAAATAATGTTTGAGATTTTTTTTTAAAGTCTGCAACAAATTAAAAAAAAACTTTTATTACAACGACATAAAACTACCCATCAAAGCCTTTCTTTAAGATTGGGTTCGTGTTGCTCATTCTTTGGTTTATATGTTGTTTTGTGTACTGTTGTTTGTCTTTTTTAGCCATGGCGTTGTCAGTTTATTTTCGACTTATGAGTTTGAATGTCCTTTTGATATCCTTCTCCTCTCTTTATCTGCATCTGTATAATAGTAGATGTATTTTTATAGAAACCAGCATACGAAGAATCTGTAAAATTAATTGTTGTCATAATTAATTTAAGCCGAGATGTGATATACTCTATATATTTAGAATAGCGTCTTACGTGAATCTATCCTTTAACTTCCTTACAACATACATTTAAAAGTAAGAAGATGTGGTATAATTGCCAATGAGGAAACTCTCTACCAGACACCAAATGAAATAGAAGTTAACAACTACCGGTCACCATACGGCCTTCAACAATGAGCAAAGCCAATACTGCATAGTCAGCTATAAGAGGCCCCGAAATGACAAATGTAAATTAATTTAAACGAGAAAACTAACGGCCTGATTTATGCAAAAAAACAACGAACGAAATACAAATATGATATACAGCAACAAACGACAACCACTGAATTAGAGGCTCCTGACTTGGGGGAAAGGCACCTACAGAATGTGGCGGGGTTAAAAATGTTAGCAGGCGCCCAACTCCTTACCTGGGACAGTGGTGTAACAGTACAACATATGAACAAACTATAAAAATAAGTTGAAAAGGGGTTACTTAACTCATCAGATCGATACAAAGCAGAAAACCAAGTAACAAAAACACAGACCGGACATGGCAGGGTATTTATACATCCCTACACACGAAGTACGGGTCTGAGAGTACTCACAGTTACTGACAGCTAGTTAAAAAGCCAATAACAACTATAATAAAAAAAATCATTTATCTAAAGCATCAATCAGTACACATCCAACATCCAATGGAGTTAGTGTAAAGACGTTATTAGCACTCAGAGAAAACATGACCTTGTGCAATGCCAAATTATCGACAGATTGTAGAACCGTGAGAGTACATATGTATATGTATATAACAATGATAGTAGTTTGGTTTAAATTTACTGATAACAAATTCAATATTTATACCAATAAAAACAATATTTAAAGATCTAATTACAGTGTTGGATTGGTAACCTTTTAGAATTATCAATAAGTTTTTTAAAGGATTGATTAGTTTACCCGGATCGTATTTAAATTTCCAGGCTCGGGGAAACAAAATCTCCGTAAAAATTAGGATGTTGTATCCCGTTTGAAATAAGTTGGTACAGCCAACCTTGCAAACCAAATTTGTATCTATGGAAGAATTTAGTAAAAGTTTTAAGTTATTTGTGGTAACGAAATCCATGACTTATTACTTTACCAGTAATACATAAATTACGTTAATTGAAATCCAAAAACGTCAATACAGACACGGGCATAGCGAACAAGTTGTGATCTATAAACAACCGTAAGATGGTGGCAAAGGAACATCACCATCCAAAAAAAAGGAAAATTAACAATAGGGAAAGACAAATCGTTCCTCTTGTCGTAAATTTTAGTGCAGTTTCCTGTGTAAAACTGAAATATCTAAGTCTAGAAAAGGACAGTAATTACCATTTATATTTGATTTATTCAAAGTAAGTTCCTTTGGGTAAATGTCGGCAGTATATTTAGAAATTCTTGATGATTTAACGAAAAAAAAAATCATGTCTCTTACATGAATTTAAATCACTTTATCGTAAACGATTTGACGCTTCTTAAACCATAACTCGATTGAAGATTGTTTGTTGGTTGCTTAACATCCAGTGGCAAATATTTCATACATGTTCAGGACGAGAACAAATTCAATGATAGGTCATGTAATAGAGGCCGTGCGGGATGAATACTGGGTGAATTTATGACTGCCACTGAAAATAAGGGTATATTGGATAAGCGCAGAAATGTTTCCTTGCAACTGGCGGCCTACGGACCCCTCAAAGTGTTGTTGCAAGGGTTCTTAACATGCAAAGAGCACTCCCTTTACACGAGGCATCGGATTTAACGTCCCGATTCTAACCAGACGTGGCTGCGTACTTGTACATCCGCACAGCAGAACGGACGCCCTATTTTGGCAAGGGGTTTACTGCCAGTCGGAAGAAGACCAATAGTGACATTTTCCATTCCCCAGTCCCCTTTGGAGGCTCCAAACTCGAAAGTGATACAGTAAGTCCTACATAAAAGCTTAAAAACACTTTTAACTTTGACCGTTATTAAAAAAAGTTTAATAAGTTACATGACAGGAACGATGACGACATGAGTCAATTTTGTTTTACGATTTTCTTGCTACTATAAATAAAATTTATCATCACATTAGTTTAAAATGCATTCGCTAAAGACAATCATGCAAATTTACGAAAATCAAACTTGAGACATAAATGTTTTTTCCATTTCTTTCCCTATTTCAATTCAACATCTTTGTCAGTTTTTTTTAAAGATACATTAGTTAATTGAAAAATCAATCCTGCAGTGCTTTATTTATTGAAAAAAGGTCATATTTAAAAAGCAAATGCAAAATGGTTGTTCAAAAGAATGATAATGATATATCAGCAAGTGACACGCGTTCGTAGCAAATAAATCTTCGTCAGATACGCCTGATACTGAAATCAACGGAAAAAATAAAGCCAAAATCGCAGGCATCCTTGGTGATTTAAAAGGGCCAACCACTGGTACTTAAACACGTTAAATCAAAGTGTTATCGGAATATACAGATTGCACATACTTTTTCTTAAACATGGATATTTTGCAGATCAATAAATTTAATCTGAGAAACTTTAGCTTTTAAGAACGACTTGCAGAAATAAACAACGTTCGCGATGTTTGAAAGAGAGAAAACAGAAAAAAGAAAGTTTTGTCCATTGGCAAATATTTTGTGTATATTACGATAAAAAACAATTTATAAATAACCTAAAATGTAGGCTCTACCAAGACTGTCCACTGGGACGAAAGGCGAGAAATATGAGTGCCACTGAAAATGAGTATATGTAGGGTAACATGGCCCCTATGCACTAAAAATAAATTAATTTATTCTTTACTGCAAAACAAACAAAAACCAATGTTGGTCATAGCAATACAGACACAAAACAAACATAAGAAAAACTCAGCAATAATAATATAAATGTAAAAACAGTTATTGGTCTCCTTTCCTCAGTTCTAATGACTCTTTAATAAAAGAAACGACTGCTTGCATATCATTGGGTGATGATGGATGTAGTATAATCGCAAGTTTATCAGTTAAGTTAAGTGTATTAAATTTGACATATTTTTCGATATAAAATTTTAAAAAGATTTCTCTATTATTTCAATTAATTTGATTAAAAATGGACTTCATCATCTAAGATATTACAAATTTTACATTTTCTTTCATTTCTTGGTATTTTTAATGCCCCACCTACTATAGTAGAGGGGCATTATGTTTTTCGGTCTGTGCGTCCGTTCGTTCGTTCGTCCGTCCGTCCCGCTTCAGGTTAAAGATTTTGGTCAAGGTACTTTTTGATGCATTTGAAGTCCAATCAACTTGAAACTTAGTACACATGACCCTTATGATATGATCTTTCTAATCTTAATGCCAAATTAGAGTTTTGACCCCAATTTCACGGTCCACTGAACATAGATAATGAAAGTGCGAGTGGGGCATCCGTGTACTATGGACACATTCTTGTTGCATATCTTCCAGTTTGTATTAAAAGACAAATGATCGCTTATTCTAAATTTGGTTAACATTTTTCTTGGTTCTTTGTTTGGGTGAGATAGGTAGTATATTCCATTTGGTTATTTATAATAGATTTAAAAAATTTATATAGATATATTTTATTATTTTCATTCAGGTTGTTTATTTTATCATTAATAAGAGTTTGATAATAGTTAATAGAACAGTTTTTTAATTGAGGTTTTAACTTTTTAGCCTGATTTAAAGTTTTAGTTTCTTCAATAAGTTGGATATCAATATTTATTTCTTGTGACACATTTTGTTTTAATGAAAGGATTTTATAATAACGTGCAGAGTGTACGACAGTTCTGTAGACGAAACAACAACCCATTAATATACCAACATTGCTGCGTATTAATATATCCCGCACAGTCAAACTGGCGATTCTTGTTATTTGGATGGGGAAACCTCCTTGGGTACCACCATATCAAATGGGGTGAAATTATTAAAATCACATATTATTTTAAATGTCAACACTACAGACTTTGCTTTTTAAATATTTTCAAATGTGTTGTCTAAGAAAAATATTATTTTAGTCTATGGAGTATGCAGAATGGTAAGTGAGAAAGGTATATATTTTTATTTCAGTTTAAAAGTAATTCAATTTTTTATTTTACTTTTATGAATGCTTAATTTGCGTTTTATATGCTTTGTATTGTTGCTATTGCGCAATTCTTAACTTAATGTTTTAGTTTCAAAGGGCCCGTTTCAAAACTTATTTTATAAGGTTCAAAGGATTTACTTTATTAACTTCGTGGAATAAAGTAAAATAACAAAAAAAAATTTGTACCTTTAATGTTATTATGGAAATATTAATAACTTCAAATTAATAAAAAAAAAAAAAAAAAAAAAAAAACAATATAAAAGCGATGCTGAAAAAACCAAAAAAAAAAGCATTAAAATAAAAAAAATGACCTTAATCTTTAGCTTTCCAAAACTCTGATTACTGAACCAGCGGTTGGGAAGAATAGTTATCTCCAATATTCCGATAAAATATAAAAAAAAAAAAAAACAAAACAGGAATTTGATTTAAGTTTTGAATATGTTTAAAACTTTCAAAGGCATTTTATTAGAACATTTCACTGACATAATGAAATAGTATTTGATTTAAAAAGCCGGACCAAAATATCTGCTGTGAAATAAAATTAGTTGTAACTCAAATGTATTTATTGATTTAAATTGTAAATAAAAAAAAGATAATTCCTCACTAAAATATTACATAATTTACATTCATACTCACAATCACAATTCCTACCTTTTCTTTGTACTATCGTGTCACCTAATGTTTATAACGCATAAATATTTCCCAAATTATAAGTCCTTACATCACTTAAACT